GCTGAGCGTCCTGGAGGCAGCTCATGTAGCGGGGCGCACAAAAGCCGCCGGTCTGGGTCCTGTGAGGAGGGCGCTTCTGCCCATTGCGTTCACCCCAGGCTGTTTTGCGCTCATCCACTTTGGGGACCAGGAGGCCACTGAACCATGACATGCTGCAGGGAGGAAAGGAATGAGATGGTATTAATACCACGGCTTGCCACCACCAGCAGCTATTATTAACTGAGCACTTCCCATTGCCAAGTTTAGCACTTCAGACACATCACCCTCATAAAATGACTCTGCGGAAGACAACGGTGTCCCCACGGAACAGTTAAGGAAATTGAGACAGAGGGAGGTGAGGTAACCTGCCCACCATCAAGCAGCCCCGTGGGTGTGAGAGCCCAGATTCTAAACCAGGTCCATCTGACTCCTGAGCAGCATACTCAAACACTCACCTCTCCCCTAAAAAGCACTGATGTTTTCTTGGTGCTTACAAACCCAAGTGCCTGTGCCAGTGAGCAAAGCCAGTGGGTCAAGGGAGTGCACACCCTGGCACAGAGGCAAACACCAGCCCCGGTGAGGAGACTGTTGCCCCTGGCATCCCCGTGGGGCCTGATCTGATTTTTCAACAGAAGCTGAAAACAAATATGCAGATTTTAATGAGACAGCTCCTGACTTTTAAATGTTGGCAAGTCATTCACAAATTTCAACGCTGCAAGCCAAATAAATTGAGTCTATGGAATGGATTCGGCCTGTGAGCTGCCAGTCAGTGACCTCTGTACAAAAGGGAATCTTTCCACATCCTTCCCCATCACGCTCACACACACACTCACATGTTGCACACTCCACTACGCTAACTTCAACTTCTCCCCCAGGTCACAGCTTACATGGAACTTCCTCAGGAAAGATGTCCCAGCTAAGTTTGGTCCCCTGTTTACCCTCTGTACATTTCCTCCACGGTACTTATCACAATTATAATTAAATCACCCTTTGTTTAATGTGCCTCTGCCCTCCTGACTATACATAGATTGTATCTATTTGGCTCAGTGCTTTATCCTCAGCACCAAGTACTAAACTTGGCTCCTAGTAGGGAATCGATGAATTTATGTTGAGAAGATAGAAAGCTCAAGGGCTTTGGAATAGAGCACCAAACATGAAATAATAATAATGGTAACCCTATGACTCCTCATCTTTCTCACTGCACTCCAGTCCTCCCAGCCTCTGTGCTGGCCCCCACACACCATGCGCAGCCTCAGACCTTGCTGCCTGCTGTCCCCTCCGCCTGGAACACGAGTTCCTCCAGGTCACAGCTCAAACGTGCCTTATCGGGAGTTTTCCCTGACCACTCTACTAAAATAGCCACCCCTATCCCGGAGCTCCTATCTCTCTTCCGAGCTTTTTGCTTTATTTTTCTCCACAGCTCTCATCAACAACAGCCATTCTATATAGTATTCTTATTTGTTCATGGTCTGCCTCTCCTAACTGGAATGTCAACTTCCTGAAGGCAAGGATTTTGGCCTGTGTTGCTCACTGCTACATCTGCAACCTTCCCAGGGTCTAAATAAATGCTCATCGAGCAGATGGATGGGCGGATGGATGGATAATACTGCCATGCACTTTCTCTGTGCGGTAAGCTTTGGAGGTCCTTTCACACGCCCAGTTCCATCTGATCTTCACCCAAACCCTGTGAAGCACCGGGGGCACAGGACAGATTGGACAGGAAAATGAACCAAAACGGAGGTCCACTGCAGTCTTACACGGCTGGCCCGAGTTACAGAGGTCGTGAGTGACCACATCTGTCCCAGAGCTCAGGTCCCCGGGAGTAAAGTGCCTTAACCGGGTTCGAGGCTCCATGACACCAACCTCACTGTGCCTCCTAGCTAAGCCCAGCTCCAGAGGCAAGGATGAGAGCATCCTGGATGCCTGTGTCCCCACCAAGGCCACCCTCCTCCATGCCCACAGGGCACCCTGAGGGGCTCCTGCAGGTGGCAGCGCTGACGTTTGTACTCACTGGGGGACAAGGGGAGACTACCCAGCGCTCGCCCTAGGTGGTCACAAGACCGTCTGGCCGGGGGCTCATGGAGCAGAATGCAAACTGGGATCTCTCTGCACAGAGGAAGCCCCCGAGCCTGGTCCACCCTCAGCTGGTTTTCCCAGCATCCCTCCTCCTATGCCCCACGGAGCAGCTGGCCCTTCAGACTCCTTCATATGAATGACACCATCCTGGGGGGGAAGGTCAGAAACCCAAGACTTTGGTCAGGCTGTCATTCACAAAAATGTCACCAAAGAAAGCTTGGCTCTTCAAAATACTTGATTAGAAGCATGGTCTTTGGGGAGAGACCAGATTTCAAACCTGTGATTATGTTATCTTCACAGCCTCGGACAAGTTACTTAACCTCCCGGTGCCCACCACCTCATCTGTGACATGGGCAGAGCAAACGTCGTGAGGAAAGACTAACAGGACCTGTCACATGCTACACATCCAACAGTTCTCCCACCTGCTCCACTTTGACCCCAAAACTCTGCTGGTGTCCAAGAGATGGAAAGACAGAAAAGTCACGAGCAAGAACACCCGCCTCCCCAGCCAGTCAGACGCCTGATCCTATCAGTCCCTGTGTCCCGGCTGTCAGTCCCCGGAGCCGCTGGAGACAGAGCCCAGCATGAGCAGGTTTCCCACCCCACCCCATGACATTTTGCCTCGGCCTCCTCCCACTTACCAGGCCCCTGACCTGTTACTGCCCAGCCAGCACCACTGGCCCAGACCTCTGCTCCCGAAGGACCTGCTTCTGGCCGTGTTCCCAGTTCCCTGGAAGCACATCCTAGCATCTGGCTCGTACCCACAGAGGAAAGGGCAGATGCGGTCCAGGGGAACACATGACCCTCCCAAGAACACTCAGACTCCCACATAGGGGCGGCTTCAAAGCTCTGTAACTGTCCGACCAACTACTCCAGGCACGGTCCATCTTGGAGAACTCACCCGTAACTTGCTGATATGGCAGGGGACAGGGGAGGGCACTGTTCAATGCCACAAAACCTCCCTAGACGGTCCTCCAACCTTCCTTGTCCAGGAACCCATCACTGTGAACCACAGACCACCTCCCTCTTCCCAAGACAGGCTGCTGAGCTTGTGCCAATGGTCTCCTCCTCCCCTGGCTTCCTGTACCTTCGCTCTGAACAGATCTGCTGCCCCAGGCACCATGGGCTCCCACAGCCAGAGCCAGTCCATTCGGCCTGGCGGACTGAGGCCCAGGGCCTCCCAAACCTCGAGTCCCTTCCAAACCCTGATCGTCCAGCCTTGAGACCCAAAGTCAGAAGCAGGTCCAGGCCCAGCCCCAAGGATGGCTCCGTCCACTGCTTTGCCCAATCCCTCTCCAGAGCTCCTCTGTCCCTGCCCTCCGTGGCAAAAAGGAGGCTTCAGGGGGCTTAATACAACTTCAGAAAAGTTCATGGCAGAAGGCACTGCCCAGGCAGGGCCCTCCCGTGCCAGCACCACCCACCATGCTGGGACATGGGCCTCAATTCCAGGCCCTTTCCAGATGTACAGGAGCCTCCCCAGGGCCTGTATCTGGAGGTTCAACATTACCTTCTCCTTGTCACCCCAGCCCTTGGTCCACCCCCACCACAGAAGCTCCATCAGGCTGCTTCACCTCCGAAGGGACACTCTGGAAAGGGAGGGTATGAGGAAAGAGTCCCACAGCCTCATCCACTCTAGCTTTGCAGTTAAGGCCCCAGAGCCGGCTATTCAGCCTGCCCCCTTGCTCACCCTGCTGGGGCCCGGACACCACCCCTCTCTTTCATTCCCAAGGTCTGCGGGGAGAGGAAGGGGACTCCTGCAGGCAGATGCACCCCTCCCTCTGCCGAGGCTGCCTTTCCTTCCCCGAAACAAAATCACACTCCACCCCAAATTTGGAGGCTCGCCCCACTGCAAAAACCTCGGGACAGCGCAACCCGCAGTGCACGCCTTTCCCTGGGGCAGGGGTCCGTGCCAGCCGAGAATCTGCTCGGGGTGGAGGAGGGACGCGTGCGGCCGCGACTGAGGGCCAGGAGCCCTGAGCCCGCACCTCCGCCCAGACCGCCCTCGGCCAGCCCCGGTGGCCTCGGGCTTCCCCCCCAAACGCTCCCGAGAATCCCCATCCCCGCTTCCGCGCCCCACGGAGAAACTCCGGGAGCCGGGCGGGAGCGCTGCCGCCGCCGCGCCGAACGCCCGCTGCCCACTCCTGGGGCGCGTCTCACCTGCCGGCCAGGGTCGGCGCCTCCCCGGGGCCCCCGCCCCGCCGCCCCCGCGGGCTCCGGCCGGCCGTGCGGCCGTCCCGCGGTCCTGCTCCTCCGGGCCCGCGCGTCCCAGCCGCCCCTCCCGCCGCCGGCCGCCCGCACGGCCCGCGCCCCCTCCCCGCTGTCCAGCGCAGCCGCCCTCTACCCCGGATCCAGAAGTCCCCTCCCCGCCGGCTCGCGGACTGCCCGCCTTAAAGGCACAAGCTCCTTTTGTCTGGGCACCCCTCCCCCTCCCCAGATGCGCGGCGCGGCGTCCCGACGCCTCCCCAGGAACAGGCCAAGGGCTGGGGAGACTATAGAAGGCGACCCCTCCCTCCGTACGCCCCCTCCTCTCCTCCGGGCGCTCCCTCCCCCTCGTCCTGGGGAAAACAAGCGGCCACTGTTCTGGGATCGAGACCCCGGGGGTGGGGGGGGAGGGGGCCGTCCAGCCCGCTCCCGGGTCCCTCCCTCCTCCCGCTCCGCCCCGGGCTGCATTCTCCAGCCTTCCCCTCCCACCTTCACCCCGGGGTCTCCCAGCGCGCCCGGTCCCACCCGCGCGCCGCGATTACCCGGGCGCTGCACGCGGAGGGTCGTCTTCCTTCCCAGCTGGGACCCCTGGGGCTGAACCTGTGCCTGGTGCCTACCCCCCACCCCTCACCCCTCACCCCTCCCTCAGACACCCCCCCCCGCCCTGCCTGCTACAGCCCTGCTCCCTCCCGCGGGAACTCTGTTTAATAATTAATTAAGATTTCATTCCACAAGGCGCCAGGTGTGTGCGGCCTGCTTCCCAGCGCACCACTTTTTTTCCTCCTCCCCCAGCTCTCTGGGGCGCCAGCCGCGACGCGAACCCACCGCACCCAGAGCCCAGAAGGGGGACTGAGGGAAGGGGCACTCTCCACGCTACCCGCGGGCCCCACAGTCTCTGGGGACTTCTCCCCGGCACCTGCCACCCAGCACAGCCCCTCCCCCGGCACCTTTTAAGCAAAGGGTAGTGCTTCCCTGCGGAGGGTGGGGGTAAAGGGGGATGCATTGCTGGCGCACGAACTGAGAGTTGTTTGATATCCCACGTTTCCGAGCACGGAGGGGCAATCCAAGCTACCTGGGTGATGGGACAATCTCGTGGAAGCTGATTTAACCCTCTGAGGGTTACACCAGAAAGCGGAAGAGGGCTAATTCCCAGGAAGTAGGTGAGTCGGACTCGTCGGAGGGGGTGCCCTGTCTCCAGAGCTGGGAAGCGGGCAGCCTGCCCGGCACCCCTTGAGGACCACCCCTGTCCTCTCAGCCAGGCCCGCACCTCCTCCCCCCGGGCAGCCCCTTCCCTACCTAAGCTCTTGCAACGTACTCATCTCAAGCTGCTCCCCCCTCAGACACCGCCTGCATTCTTGTCCTTCAAGGCCCAACTCTTGCTCATGCCCCATCCCCACTGGGATTCCTAAGCCCCAGGACAGAGCTTGAGGCAAGGAACAGAGGGAAAGAATTGGGAAAATGAACTTCCATGATTTATCAGGCATATACAATTGCCTGATATATACCTTGGGTAAAACCATCACTCTCTTGGAGACTCATCTATAAAATGGGGGTGAACCTATCTGCCTTGGGTTTCTTACAGGATTTTGACGATCAACTAGAAAAGTGTTGGTTAAAATGCTAAAAAATGAGATAGGGATAGTTTATCTTACCATGTATGATATGCAGGGCTGGCTTGTAATTTAACCTTTGGGGTGTTTTGGCCTGACTTTGTCCTTGGAGTAGCCAGTGCTCTCATCGCTATTAAAATTTCCTCTCCACCCTGAATCCAGTATCAGCCAGTTACCTCTCAGAATAATATGCTTACAGGGTAAATGGGGGAAATGCAAAAGACAATTCGGAAAAACAAAGGTGTGCATTGTGAAGTTTTATATTTTGGGATGGAAGGCTTTGTCCTTTATTGTATTTCAGAATGAAAAACAAGTTTGGACACCAACCAGGTAAGCTGGAGAAATATGTTGGGGGCCCACCTCTGGGCTTTAAGTTACACTGGTGTGTGAGTCCTGCCTCCCTCCTGAAGGCCATTTCCGGCTACGGGAGGGCACGGCCACCTTCTGCACCTTGCACAGAAGATCTGTTTCTGCCACCACAGACTGTGCAGGCCTTAGAAATGACTCTAGTCTCGTACGTCGTAGATAGTGCTAGGCACACTGGACATACTCAATCACTGAATCTTTAAATGTAGAGGATATTAGGGCAGAAGGGATCATAAAAATGATCTAATTTAGCTGCTATACTTTTAATCATTATAACAGGAAGCACTTATATAGCATATCGAGTGCACCGGCTACTCTTCTAAGCCCTTCTAATTCTCATAACAACTTCACAATCCGATTATCATCATCCTCACCTTAGAGACAGGAAAAGTGAGGCACAGAGAGGTTCAATAGCTTCTCCTAGGTCAGAGAGGAAGTGGTAGATCCAGATTTTGAACGCCTGCAGTCTCCCTTCAGAGTCTGTGTTCATAACCACGATGATGCACCGAGTACAGAAAACCAAGCCCCTGCGATGGGAAGTGACGTGCCCAGGCCACACAGCTGGCTGGTAATAACAGAAGTAGGAGCAAGACTCACAGCCACTGACCCCGACTCATTGCTCTTTCCACTCTGCGTCACTGACACGTCTGTGCGTATCACAGACACAGAGAGTGCCCGGCCTTCCCTGTGACTGCTCCCGGAGCACAGACCTTCTTCTACTGGTGGGTGGGCTTTCCCCGCATTCCACTGTGGTCAGTGTATGCTTTGGAGGGTGGGGGCCATGGGCCCCAGATCTTTAGCTTCATGACCCAAAAAGTGTGAGAACTACTGCTACAGACCAACTGCCAAGGGCCAGCCACCCCCCATCAGACCAGCAGGTGAGAGTCTGGGCCTTCCACCAACCGCTCCATAACAGAGGATTGGGTGTGCAGGACATGCTTCAGCCGGGTCATCTACCTCTGAAACGCACCAAGGCCGCTTTACAAGCTTGCAGGGGAATAGTTTGGAGGGAAACATGGAGTCTCTCACACAGGGGTTCTTAGACCTCCTCTGTGCCCCTGAAAGGAGTGCAACACTCGGCAGAACACAGTGACACATGAACACTTTAAAACAACTGCACAACGCAGTGCTGTGCCAGATCCAGCACAGTCCAGAATCGCAGGCACCGAAGTCTTAGGGGAAAAATAGTGTAAAGCCTCACAATTGGGAAATTTCTGTCTATCACTTTTTTCTTTGAATTAGGACATGGTGGCCATCACTCAGTTTCCATGGCAGAGTGCCTGCCTTGGTCCAGCCAGTGTACCACCAGCCCTGCAAAGCCAAGTTTGAGAACCACTAGAATAAGTAAAATGTTCAGAAAGAACCTCCTTATCCCAGGATGGAAAATAAACAGCAAGGCAGGGATCAATGGGAAGGTTTTCACTCTGACCAAAAAGAAGAAAAGAAGAGAGGGAGAGGCAGCTGGCATGAGCTGTTTCTATTTCTCCAAGTCTGACTTGGTCTCAAATGACCAGGTTATTTTTCTAATACAGAGCACAGTCACAGAGTGGCACACTCTCAACCTCTCATTTTCCGGAAGAGGAAATTCCTACAAGGACAGTATTATATGTAAATGCAAGTTCCATATAGCCGTAAGTGTATCTGGATCGCACTCTGTGAATATCTAGTGTTGGAAACAGCTTGTAATGTAGCAAATGGCCAGGCTTGCGTCTCCTGAGCCTTCTCTGGGTTGTTTGGGAAACAGCTAAGCAAGCCTCTGCCAACTCCCTTTTACAAAGCAAGGATTCCTTTCACAGTGCACATAACCATTCCCTAACTTTTCTTTCTTAAAGATCAGATTTCTGCCGATTACATTTTCTGAAAGTAAGAACGATGTGTAAAGACAGCCCACATTTATTCAATCCAGCAAATACACCCTGTCCACTTCACCATCCCTAACATAACCACTGCTCCGGCCGCCGCCCAGAGGCTCTTGGCTTCCCCTGGGCCCCAGGGGTGGAGGAAGCCTTGGCCACCACCAGCCTCACAGCCACCAACACCCACAGCAATGGAATCATTGACTGTGAACTCCAGGGGGATACAAACATCCCTCCTCATCCTTTGGTTCCACATCCATTCTTTCCACAAATATTCATAAATAGTTGAATATTTATGAATGTTCCTACTACACTCCAGGTACTGTTCTATTAATAGGTGCTTGGGATACAGAAATTGAACGCAGAAGACTGGCTCCCTAGTCTGATGGGGTGATAGTTGATGGTGACGAGTGCAATGATGACAATTAGAAATGAGGATGGATAAAAAGTGACTGGGAGAGAAACTCAGGCTGGCTTGTCCAAAGGCCTCTCTGAGGAAGTGACATTTACATAGAGACCTAAATGAAAAGGGATCAGTCATGCAAAGAATATGAGTAAAGCGCATCCCAGGCAGCGAGGACAGCTCATGCAAAAGTCCTAAAGCAACAGCAAGCTCACTGTGTTCCAAGAAAGAGAGAGTCCGGGAGGTTGAAACCGGCTGCTCCAGGAAGAAAGTACAAGGTGAGGTCAGACAGGAAGGCATGCCCTCGCTAGAGCACCACTCACAGGCCGGGGTAAGGGGTTTGGATTTCATTCAAAGTGTAATAACAAGGCTTCGGAGGATGTTAAGCTTGGAAGTCACGTGATCTGATGTATGGTTTTAAAAGATCACGTCTACTAGGTGGAGAATAGATCTAGGGATCAAGAGATGCAAGGGAAACCACTCAAGAAGCTGCTATAATGGTGCAAGTGGAAAGAGGTTTGACAAGGATGGTAATAGCGAACTGAGAAGTGGAAGGACTTGGGAAATATTTTGGAGTTGGAGTAGTCTAATGACTGGCCTTTGTTCACTCTGCATGGTTTATCTGTATCAAATAATCATCAAAACCTAGTATTTATCGAGCACTTACTATATGCCAGGCACTGTGCAAGGCACTGGAAGTTATGGTCCAGAGAAGACAAACCCCACCTCCTCCCACCCTACTGCCATAGGAAGCTCTAAGTTGGAGGAGCTCCTGCCCACCCCATCCCACCCCATTTTCAGGGCTAGAGGCACACCCTTCACCCCACCCCTGCACTCTACTCCAATGCTGAGCTGGGGTTGATCGGTGTCTGAGGAGTGTTTATAGCTGGAGAATTGATGCCATAAAAATAAGAGTCCAAAGTTCTCCCAAGATCTCAGAGCAAAAACCAGGGGAGCCCAAGGGCTCCTATGCTGGGGAGAGCCAGGGCCACAAGGACAAGAGAAACCTGTTGACGGTCACACTACTTACTGCTCATCCTTCTCTGGGTCCCCAGAGCTCCGCCTGCCAGAGAGCTGGTCAAGGCAGACTTCCTCCGCTTTCTCAACTATTCCCTACCCCCTTCGATTACCCGCAAGCTCCCTTAGTAGATTTCTGAGTCTCGTGTGCTCTCTGGTGGCACCTTTGTGACACTGCAGCCCATAGTTAATCTCAGCTTTTCACTACTCAATCTACAAACTTCTCTGGCTACCTGCACCAGAGAGCCACATGGGAAATTCTAGAAATTCCCGGAAGGGTTGAGAATGCTATTGTATTAAGGCAAAGGTTCACACCAGTTTCTGAGCTTTAGAAGCACGAGCCAGCCCTCCATCTATTGCCAGGCTCACCTGTTGTTTACTGGTTAAACAAACCACTGTATTTTGCCATGTATAATGCGCACCCATGTTTTCGGCCCAAACTTTCAGAAATAAAATCTTTCACTTTAATTTTTAATTCAATTTTGTATACATTTATATTTAGATACTTGTGCTTTTTGTAGTATAAAGGAATGTTAGCATTTATTTGTGAACATATTATGGTAAAAGAAACTTTATGTAACAAATAATTACAAAACACAAGAACAGATACAAGGTATTTCAGGTACTACCCATGTATAATGCACATCCTCATTTTTCCCCCTCAAAATTCTGGGCAAAAAAGTGCACATTATACACACAAAATACGGTATCCAAGTGCCTCCTGTGAGCTGACCCCAGGCACCATGTGCAAAGCCGACTCCAGGTCAGATGACCAGACATTCCCACCAGGGCTTTGAGTCTGGAGCTGGTCATGTAAGGAAGCTAGAGCGGTTTTGAACCCATCCTGCAGTCAGGGACAGTGCGTCCAGTGATCATGGCCCCAAGCCAGACTTTGCCACGGCTCCTGCTGCCTAATTTCCATTTGTCCCTGCCCCTTCGTTTAAGCCTAGTAGTCTGTCCTTCCCATCAATTCTGTGAGCAAGTTACTCACTATCCTTCCAATAAATGTGTTTCCTGCTCACAGTTGGAGTCTGTTTTTGTTTTTGTGAACAAGATAATGACTTGTATATCGTACAGTTAGTCAAGCTTCTCTGAATCTTAGTTTCCCTCTCGCTAAAAAGGATGACAACAGTGACTTCCATGTGCGAGGCTGTTTGATTAGAAGAGTGTATTCATAATCTATTGCTGCATAGCAAGTTACCAGCTTAAAGCAGCACACATTTACCATCTCAAGTTTCTGTGGGTCAGGAGTCTGGGCCTGGCTTGGCTAGGTGCTCTGCTTCAGGATCTTACAAAGCTGCCATCAAGGTGTTGGCACAGGACGAAGTCTCATCTGAGGCTCACGTGAGGAAGAGTCAATCCCAGGTGGTTGTTGACAGGACTCAGTTCCTGCAGCTCATTGGACTGAGGATCTCCGCTCCCTCCCACCTGGGTCTCTCCAACACAGCTGTTTGCTTCATCAAAGCCAGCAAGGGAGAGTTGGCCAGCAAGATGAAAGTCACAGTCTCTGGTAGTCTAATCACAGAAGTGTCATCCCGTCACTTAATGCTGTGTTCTATAAACTAAAAGCAAGTCACAAGGCCAGCAATTAAGTAAGAGGAGGGGATCACCCAAGGCCACGAATACCCAGAGATAGGGATCATCTGGGGCTGTCTTGGAGTCAGCCTGCCACGTGATGTAGCTGTTAATGATCATTCAAGTCCTCGCTCAAAATCTCACTTCCTTCTTGAGGGCTTTTCTAGTCCCTCTTCAACCCAAACCTATCAAAATTAACACCTCTTACAAAAGGGGAAACTTGAAGATATACTAGTTATTAGATGGGATTGTTTTTGTGTTGGGAGGAATGATGTTATTTTGGCACTATAAGATGTTCTTTTCAAGAAATACTGGTGGTAGAATATCATGATGCTCACGCTTGCCTTTAAAATATCTTAGAGTGTTCTGGCTGGTATAGTTCTGTGCACTGAGTGCTGGCTGGCAGACCAAAAGATCGCCAGTTCAATTCCCAGTCAGGACACATGACTGGGTTGTGGGCTGGGTGCTTGGTTGGGGGTATGCAAGAGGCAACTCATCAATATATCTCTAGTGCATTGATGTTTCTGTTCCTCTCTTTCTCTCTCCCTTTCCCTTTCTCTAAAAATAAAATTGATAAAATCTTTATTAAAAAAGAAAATTGTCATGGATGCCACCTTAACCAAATTATCAAATTTAACCACACAAAAAATGGGACAAATTGACAATCATATACCCCCACTCACATGTGCTGGGAAGGACTGTACTAATCTTACCAAAAAATCTTTAAACTGAATCTAATCACAGGGAAACAAATTGAGGTACATTTCTAAAACAATTGGTCTGCACTCTTCAAAAACATCAATATTATGGAAGAAAAAAAAAAACCCAGCTAGGGAACTGACAACAGTGTTAAGGAAACTGGAGAGACGACTAAATGTGATATGCTCAACTGGTTCCCAGATTTGTCTTTAAGCCATAAACACACTGTTGGGACAATTGGGGAAATTCGAAATTTGAAATATGTCAGAAACGTTGCATAAATGTTCAAGTCCCTGAGTGTGATGATGTTTTGTGATTATGTAGAAATGCCTCTGTTCTGGGTAAATACATGAGGAAATATTTAGGAATGAAGTTGATGTCAGGAAGTGGTTCAGGAAAAAAACACACATCTGCCCGGGGTCAGAGCAAACACGGGCAAACGCCGCCAACCGGGGAGTCTGGGGGAAAGGGCCATGCATATTTTGTATGGTTCCTGTAACTTTAAGCCCACAAAAAGGTTTAACATTTTTCAAGATAAAAATATTTGGGGAAATGCCAGACCTTCAGAGTTTTAATGTCAGCTGAAAAATACTCCAAATGAGGAAAGCGACAGGGCAGGCAGTTCCCCTAAATGTCCCGCAGAGGTGGGGGCGAGGCGCCCCCGTGGGCACTGGCCCAGTAGGCACACAGAGTGCTAGCTGCCAGCAAAGCGGGAACACTGGGAAAATATTTATTTAGAAATAATGTGATATTTGGTATTGTTCCAAAAACATCCAATTTGTCATGGAAATTTTTTAGAATTTTGTTAGACTTCTTAAAATTTTTTTGCAGTTGACTTGTTTTTCACTGCGAAGGGACTGTCACAATCGTTTTCATGCTTAAGACGTTTAAAGTCTTCGTGTGCCTCCAGCCACCTGCCGAGGCGAATGGGCTGGGAGCTGGCAGCTGGGGAGCGGAAGGCGTGCAGGGACAGCGCAGTTATTAAAAGCCCTTTGGAATTGGGTGGCCAGAGTCTGGGAACCCAGTGAGAAAGCTAGCTGTAGTGAGAATGGAAACTTTATACTTTAGTCTATCTTGGGCTGTTTTAGAGGCTGGGCTGTTTGTTTATTTTCTTTTTGTTCTTCCTTAATATTAGGTAAAGATTTTTGTTTGCTTGAAACAAACAGGAGCCTCTCTCAGCCACGCTGAGAAGAACCCAGACGAGGGGACTAGGCAAATGCCCTCCCCCAGCCCGGGGCAGAGCTCTGAGGGGAAGGCAGAGACTTCCAGCGCTGCCCGCTTGGCCCCATGTGTTTCGGAGAAAAGCTGTTGGCCTCCTGCCCTCCTTCTCTCTCCCCTGCTCTCCTCCTGCCAGCCCCTTCTCCGCCCCACCTGCGCCGCCTGTTTTCCTTCCCAGCATGGAAGGATGAGTGGAAGCGGTTGAGCTGTGAAGTCCAGGACACCCGGATTCAAACCAGTTGTGACAGGGACAGACCTCAAAACCTATGCTTCCTTTCAGCAAATATCCACTAATGCCACAGAGGTAGCAGGCACCACTCTGGGTCCAGGGGACAACGTGGTAAGTCAAGAGGGCAGACAAGGTTCCTGCCCTCGTGCAACTTGCGTTCTGGTCCAGGGAGGCAGATGATGAACATGAAGACAAATGAATAAGAAAAGTAAATGCCATGAAAAGTGTGTTGTAGAATCTCGCTGCACACTGTATGCATTCAGCTCTACACCATTCTGGAAGAGGTGAAACTGGGGAGTCGGCGTGGTGGTTCCCAGGGCCGTGGTGGGGAGGGGTGAATAGGAGAGCACACAGGGTTTTAGGGCAGCGAACCTGTTCTGTGTGCTGCCGTGACGATGGGGTATGTCATTACACATTTGTCAGGACCCACGGAATGCACAACACCCAGAGTGAGCCCTGACGTAACTCTGGACTTGGGGTGACTGTGCTGTGTGGACCCAGGTTTGCCAACTGGCACAGAAGTGCCCTCTGGTGGGGGGAGTGGATAGTGGGGGAGGCTGTGCATGGGAGGGGCCAGGGGGCATGTGGGAACTCGGTACTTCATGCTCAGTTCTGCTGGAAACCTAAAACTGCTCTACAAAATAAAGTCTGTTTTTTAACAAGTTGTCTGTGGGACACCCTTTTGTGGAAAATTAACATGTGATCAAAGGAAACGGGAGGGCCCTGCTTTAGACAGGGTGAAAAGAAAGCCTCTCTGAGGCTGTTTCCTCAGCTACAAAATGGAAGTAGGAGTATTCGCCTTCATATGCACATGAAAGTGCTCTCTAAATGGCCACGACTCTTCCCCTGTGGCAAAGTCTGCAACGACACCTGCCAGTGCTCTGACAAGGCTCCCCGTGCCCCCTGCCTTCTGGTGTGCAAGTGCTTGTTTAATATGCACCTGCTGACTCAGGGCTGGGTCTGGTGACTTGCCTCTAAGGAATAAAATGTAGCAAGAGTGATGAAAAGCTACTTCCAAAGTGTCAGAAAGACTGCAGTGTCTATCCCCTCTCTCTCAGAAGTAGGCTGCCTGCTGTGTGTGACCCTACGTAGAGGAAGCAATGTGTCCAGGCACCCCGGCAAGGATCTGCACGGTGAGGGCTTACAGATGCAACTGCCGGGTGCAGTGCCGCTCCTGGACGGGGTACCAATTGGACAAAGCAGCAGCAAAAGATATAGTTGGGTCGATGGAGGAGATCCGAATATTGACTGGGATTAGAGAAGATGAAAATTAATGAAACAGAAAGCTGAAGGTTGTTGACAGAGAAAAAGTAGGTTCAAAGTAGCATGCTCATTATGCTATCATTTTGCTAAAGGAAATCATTTGTGTGTGCATGTGCATTTTAAAGGATACAACCTACCCTATTGCCCAGTAATTCCATTTCTAGTCATATGTGTCCAAGAGAAATGAATTCCTATGTCTGCCAAAAGGCTCATGTTTAAGAATGTTCATAGCAATTTTATTCATTATAGACAAAATTGGAATCATCCTGAATGTTCATCAACAGAAGAACAGATAAATAAATTACGGTGTATTCCAACAGTGGAATATTACACAGCAATAAGAAAGAGCAGACTGCTGATAAATGCAACGAGGACGACTCTCAAAAACAGACCCCTGTGGGCCAGCAGCCAGATGCAACAGGGCACACTGTGCACAACCCTTTCAGGTGAAGTTCGAGAGTGGGCAGCTCTGACCCGTGGTGATAAGAGCTGTGACCACTGCAGGCTGGATCCTGAGGGTGAAGGGGCCTGAGGGAAATTTCTGAGGGAGGACATTGCAGGCCAGTGATGTTCAACCTTTATTATCTCATGGCATGCGTGAACCAATTACTAAAATTTGGTGGCACACCAAAAAGTTATATATTTTTTGCCTATCTGACAAAAACATAGGTATAATTCTGATTGATTTACAAAAAAGTAATAATAATCATAATAACCTACCCTTTTTGCTCCAAAGTGACTTTTTAAAAAAAAATCAGGTGACTATACTTATAGACAAGGATTTCCGGTACCAAGAATTAACCAATCAGACACAGCTTTATTATGTGACATGACAAATAAATTGCAGCTCTGTCACATGACCTATATACTTAAAGTTCAAGACAGGGCATTCACACTGGACAGCTGTTGTTGTGTTGGCCATTGTCACTGTTTTATTTGACCATCTAAGGGGACAGAGGTCAGTGCCCCTGACGAAACAGCCAGATTGAAAATCACTGGCATAGACCTTGATTTGGATGTGGTTACACAGACGTAGATATCTATGTCCCAAAATTGTACTTTTAATATTTGTATACTTTATATCATTGAGTTGTACCTCAAGTTTTAAAAAATTTTAAGAACAGCCCAGGCTGGTGTGGCTTAGTGGATTGAGCACTGGCCTGTGAACCAAAGGTCGCCAGTTTGATTCCCTGTCAGGGCACATGCCTGGGTTGCAGGCCAGGTCCCCAGTAGGGGGAGCATGAGAGGCAACCACACATAGATGTTTCTCTCCCTCTCTTTCTCCCTCCCTTCCCCTCTCTTAAATAAATAAAAATTTTAAACAAAATTTTAAGAACAAAACATTCATAAGGATTACACTTAAAGTGTTAATAGTGATCATACCTGGATGATGGGAATACTATATTTTCATTTGTTTTGTCTTGTTGTTTGTCTGTATTTTCTAATTTCCTACAGTCCGTAAGTACGGCTTCTGCAGTAAAAGGTTATTTTTTAAACTGCATTCCAAATACTTGATAATATTATTCCTGCTGCCTGGGAGAGAGTCAAGAAGCGTACTTGCTGAGCTCCTCCTGAAGGAGGTGGGCCGTGGCCACGGATAACAAGAAGGAATGAAGTGCTGATCCCTGTGGCCTCCCGGTGAGGGGACTTCCCAGGGCAAGTCCCCAGTGCTGAGCACGCGGAAGGGCAGAGCACACCTGAGTTTCTGGCCCACGTGGTATAATGGAAAGAACCCAGAAGGTAGAATCTGAAGATTTGGGTCTGAATCCAGATGCACCGTGGACTGACTGTGGCCTTTGAACCTCAGAAGAGGAAGGACTAAGGGTCAGTCACAGGGCACCTGCTGACACCTGGGCCATGACCCTACAGTTTCTGCCACATGTTGCTCTCCTGTTTACGAGACTCTCACCCTCAGTAGTGACAATTAACCTTAACGTGACCATTCCATTTTCTGAAACAAATGTTCCTGTTGAATTCTCACAGATGCTCTGTTAAGCAATCACTGCTCTTTCCCCTTATTAAAGGTAAGAAACTCATTTGCTGAGATAAGTGATTTGCCCACAACCAGTGACAGAATTAGGACTTGCCTTCTGGTATCAGACTCCCAATCCTTGGTTCTTTCTCCAGGCCTGTCCTGACACTGACCCACACTCTCCTCGACTGCACTTGCTCCCAGAAGGTCTGTAGCTCTCCACTGTCAACAAGACACTGGTTCCCGGAGGGACAGAGGCCTCTGCACACAGCATGCCTGAATGACCGAATGGCTCACTGGTACTGACTCCAGGTCAGAAGAGGCCCCAGGCCTCTTCTGGCTCTGTGTAACCCCAGGGGCATTTGGGAGTCTAGACCTCCAATGCTGGGGAGTCACTGGGATCAAGGGCCTTTCAGTCTCAATTCCCAACCTGGCTTCAGGGCAGCCGCCAGCTCCCCCTGCCCTCCTGACCCATGACAAGGAGCGAGGACTCTTCACCAGCCCACTTCCCTCCTGCCAAAGGAGGCTTCTCACCAAGGCCTGTACTTCCCCATCCAGGCCCTGCCTCTCCCTAACACCTCCTCCTCCCAGGCCCCTGGGGCTCACCAACCTCTTCCTCCCTCTCCTCACAGCTAGTAAAGGAGCAGTGAGAAGCAGAGCAAGAAGAGGTGACAGTAGGCCCAAGGGGCAGCAGCTGTGAGCAGCTAGCACTATGCTCTCTTCAATAATTCATTGCCAGGGAGGTTGAAGGCACCATGTCCTCGTGCTGAACTGGAGGTGGCTACCACAGCTCAGACCCTTAAACTGAAAGTGGTGGGAGTCGGGGGCGGGCCAGGGATTGAGTAGGAGCGAGCAGAGGGGTAGCCTCCAGCACCCTGTCAGCATCAGCACCTTACCCTCCACTCTTTATTAGAGAGGGCCTCTGATCTGGGCTGAGATCAGGGATTCGGTGACAGATAAAGGAGCCCAGGAACTACAGTGAACCGGAGGGGTAGGGAGGAAGGACCCAAATACAGAAAACCCGGACTCACTCGGGCTGTGCATCCAGGGTCAGGTGAGCCTCCTGGGGCCAACCTCAGCCTCTTGTCAGCAGCCCCTCAACCCCCAACCTAAAGGAGGCCCAAGTCCCTTCTGTCCCAGACTTTTGGGAGCTCTGGAAAGCCCTACTAGGGGAACAATTTCCCCCAAAAGCTGTACCCCTTAGGTCTATCACCTGAGTCAAACATTTCAGAAACCCTCAACCTCACCTGCACTCTCACTCCTGCACCACCCCACCCCGCCTCCTTTCAACCCCAGCTTCCCTGGCTGGTAAACATGTGAGAGAGGAGAGACTGAAACTGACCCCTTCCTGTGATCCAGAGTCTTCAAGCCTTCGGACTTTGGCAAGATGAAGGAGAGCGAGCAGGCAGTCAAGTCTAGGCCAACTCCCTTCCCCAGACCTTCCCAGGATCTTGCTGCTAATACTCTTGCCCCAACCTGGGCCAGCCCTAAAGTTCTGCTCCTACCCCAGCCTCATTCCTCACTCTAACCCCTTCTGTGCAATTGGAATCATCCATCACATTGACCGGGAGGGGAAACTGAGATATAAGACTGAAGTAAACATATATCAAGCCCCTACTATGTGCCAGACTGAGCCAGACTCTGAAGCAAGAGAATGAGAGCCAAGCATCTCAGCTCGCTCACCTTCTCTCCTTGTCAGGTACCAGAGACCTCCCAATCCACAGAGCAGTCGCTCTGCCTGCCCCAGAGTGGGCGAGTCGTGTCTTCAAGCCACAGCTGAGAGCCCAGCGCCTCCAGAGAGTCCTGGTGTGAGGAGGAAGGTGCAACCTTACTGGGCACTGTCAGCAAGAAACTCTTCAGCATATTTATAGCAAATGCTGTGTCAGGGGATGGAGCCTGAAAGTGCCTCGAAGCATCAAATATCACCATGAGCCCAGAGCCCAGCCCAGCAAAAGAAGACAGAGATCACAGCAGGAGTGACTGAGGTTTGATGTAGGAAGAACTTCCTCAGATTAATATCTGAAGTTGGCAATGGGGATTCCCTGTGGAAGTTACTTCTGAGATTTCTCAGAAGAGACAGGTAGCCCTTTTTGGTCTCGGTGGGATAAATACAAAATGATGAACATGGTGGTCTCTGTTCTCTGTCCTTATGGTTCACAAGTTTTCAAATAAGGCCACTAAGTGCCATTGTGCAGGTTATGCCTGGCTGAGGAGGTAAGAGGGGACAGGAACCCAGCTCTAGGTCGGCAGTGCAATCCCCTAGCGCAGGGCTGCAGCTGCACAAAGACTGGACGAAAGGGTGAGCAGAGGCCCTGCCCTTTGTCCCCAGGTCCTGACAGCCTGGGGACCTGGCCCATTAGAGAACAGGGTGAGCTGGCCCCAGGGAGAAGGGATGAAGGCTGTCTGGGGATCCCTGAGGGCTGCACACTGGCGCTGACCTGAAGGAGCCAAGCTAAGGCATGGCTCCCAGGAGTGTGTCCAGGCTACAGGCCCCTGTCAGCGGAGTGAAAGGTCCTGTGAGGTTAGAGCCAGAGACAGGGACCCAGGGGAGGGTGAGCAGTGGGGGAGAGGGTGTGGGTCCCAGACAGGGTCCAAAGAGGGTTAATCCTGCCGGTCATCTCACATTGAGGGGACTGGGAGAGGACAGTTCTAGGGACCTGGGGGTTGGGCTCCCCACTCTAGCTCTGAGGTTCCTAACTTCTCTTCGTGGGGAAAGGGAGAGGGGTGCGTGGTTCGGCAGCTGGAGTGGACATGAGAAAAAGTGAAGGCTGCAGAACTGCCCTATGCACCTCAGATTCCCTCTGATAGGCTAAGAGAGAAGTCATTGATATTTCCATTCTAAAGTAAGGACTGGCGAGAGATGGTGTTCTAGACTGTAGGTTCTGGGAGGTTGGAGGGAGGGGAGAAGGGAGAGAGGGGAAAACCAGGGACAATTGCTTGCCTTGGCCAGCACCCTCCACCCCCCTTCTCCTATGGAAATGAAAGCTGCCCCAAGGCCCAGAGGAGCTAGTCCATTAGCCGTGGTCAGCAGGGGTGTGTGGAGTGGGGGGTGGTTCTCTTCCTCCAGGTCTTACTGCCAAATGAAAGGCAAAGACCTTTCTGCTCCAAAGCTTCTGCTCCATTAGAGCCAAAAACAAAATCAAAACAAAACAAAAAAATCTCTGTGCACATTTTAAAAACACACACAACCCCTTTATAGCCTCTGAATAGTTCAAGTTGAGTAACTTGGGGGTAGGTGGGTGGCGAGGGAACCCTTGGGCCTGCTGGACTAGACCACACAGAGAGGGGGGAGATGCCCTCCCCATGTGCTTTCCAGGTTAAGTCCAGCCTGAGGAGGAGCTGAGAGTGGAGAGAATTAATTCTCTCCCAATTTAGCTCCCTCTGGAATGAGGGCAAGTGGAGGGTCAGCTAAACAGAGAGGGAGAGAAATCTTCCGAGATCCCCAGGGGATGGGAGGATTAAGGGAGCCCCCGGAGGTGGGGGCGGAGGGAGTGAAAAAGAAGCACGAGGGCAGTCGAGCGCCCTGAGGGAAAGAGTTCTAGCTAGTACGGAGAAGCTGGGGACCCCAGTCATTCAGCCTCAGCGCGTGTCCGGGTCTCCACAAGGGTCTGCTGCCCCCTCCTGCCCACCCCACCCCACCCCCGGCCGCCGTCTTTGGTATGGAGAAGAGTCCAGCCTGGTGGGTGCTGGGGGAGTGGAGGGACCAATGAGAGGCAGATCCGCTCAGGGGGTGCAGGGAGAGCGCTGGCTGGGGCTACACCCCTGCTCCCCCTTTCCCCCGCCAGAACTTGGGCTTGTCCTCTTTGACGTGCCCGCGGAAAGGGGCGGGAGGGGTACTGACCCGAGGTTCGGTCCGCGACTCTGAACTCCCTACTGCCCGGGCCTTGCCAGGTCGCTGTCGGGCTCAGCGGCGTCGCCCCAGGAGACCAGGATGGAGGTAGGAGCGCTCTCGGGCTCCAGAGGGGCCAAGTATCTAAAAGGATACTTGGGGTGGGTATAGAGTACACCCTGGAGTCCCAAACGAGGGGTCTGGAGATGAGACTGCAGTTCCTGGAAAGAGAGGGGGCGTCCGTCCGGGGTTTAGTGGGGGTCTGGCTCAGCGCTTCTGGCCCCTCTGCGCGAGCCTGGGCAGCGCCGCCTGCTGGCAGGGCCCGCCCCTGCGGACCAACAGACGGGACCCCGGGGAGGGCGCCGCCACCTGGAGGGCGAGTGAGTCCAGGGGACGCTGCAGCCGGTCCAGAGGAGACACCTCGCCTCCACTTTTCGCCTTCGCGGGCTGAGTCCCGGGACGCCAGCACCCAGGAGAGAGGAGTGACAGAGACTCCCGGGCCGCCGGGCTCATTCCGCCGGGCTATCTCCAATTGGATCCCGCAAAAGCCTCAGGGCGTGGACGTGGGACGGGGGATGGACGTGGCTTCCCCGGCTCCCAGAGGGAGAGCCTTGACGCAGAGGCTAGCAAGCTGTACACGAGCGCTCTGTTTCGGTCCGTTCCCCCGCTGAGGTCGGCTGGAGCCGCCGCTGGGACTGCCGCGCTCTCCTTCCTCAGACGCTGAAGGCTGGGCGGTGGCGCACGGAGCTGGAGCCGCGGAGAGCAGAACCTTCTGCCCGAAGCGCCGGAGTTAGGCGGCCCTTGAGCTACTCCTGCCCTTCTGCCTGTGGTGGTGGGAGCTCCGGAGCCCCTTTTCTGGGGAGGGGGCACAGGGAGAAACGGAGGGGGAGGCGGCAGAGACGGGAGACGAGCTCTGGGAATGGAAGGACTGTGGGAGGAACCCTGATAAACAGACCAGGGACCGTAAAGAGGAGGAAGAAGAGACGGAAATGGAGAGAGCAGGACTGAAAGGCGACGGGAGAGGGCGAGAGTGACAAGGGAAGGCGTGAAAGGGAGAGGGAGGGAGGCAGGGAGGGAAGAAGGAAAGGGGGAGGGAACCCAGAGAGAGGAAGGGAGCAGGCGGTGGAGCCTGGAGGGCGTGGGGCGAGGCCAGACGTGCGGGCGGGAGCCCGTATATGCACAGCCACGGCCGGGTCCTGCTCCCGCCTCGGAGCCCCTGGGCTCGGGGGAGGAGGCGAGACCACTAGGTTGGTCTATGTCTTTTTCTGACTCCAGTGCAACCTTCCTGCTGAATGAGGTAAAGGCGGGGGTCTCTCTGCAGTGGGTGGGAGGAGAG